GTGAGTATGTTATGTTTCAGAGTGTCTGTGTGTATATATGTTGGAGGTACTGATTTAATTTGCATAACGTTGATGTTAATGCCAGATAAGTAACTAAATAAAATACTGTGACAATTATTTGTGTACAGAATCACAGTCATGTTGTATTTCCCTGTTAGACAATCAGAACAGACTTGTGACAGTATTATACTATATACATGTTCACTGTGTTTGTGTTTCTTGGTGTCACAGTAGTAAGATCAGTTTTTAACTATTTATTATACTTTTATAGTCTCCAGTGAAAAGATTTCACCCATTTTCCTATGTTGGAAGACCGGCAGTCTGACTATTTATTGCTTAGAAACAGCCTGCTGGTTTCTCCATAGGTTGGACTATAATTTTCATTATTCCTGAGCCACCTACTGTACATTGATTTTGGGAAAGGTAGGCACTACCTTACTCTTCAAGTAAAAAGGCAAAATAAATTGAATGGGTAAATGTATTTCAAGGAGTGCCTGAATAGATAACAAAAAGTCAGACACATATACTATATGTTCAATATTTAATTTGATTTGGGTGCATGCAGAATGATTCATCTGACACGAAGTCAGATTCACACTTCTACAAAACTGTTCTATAGACAGAAATTGCCTCTTAAGGGAGATGTTCCCAAGAGGTATATATCCTTGTTTGTTTGTTTTTTGAACCATCATCTTCATTTATTTCCAGATTCAACTGGTTATTTCTACTTGCCATGCAGTATTATCATGCATTGAATATATGATTTGCCCCCTAATTATCATAATATTAAGAAATTCTAAATAGATGTACTTTATCACAAATGAAAATAAGAATAATTTGAAAAGTAATCATATTACCTATAGATTCAAAACTTACTTGTAAGAAAACAAGTCATAAATGATTTGGAGAGGAAGACAGATTAAGAGACCATTCATGGCCTATTCCAGTCTTTCCTGGTGCAATACCTTCAAAATAGATTGGGACCACAATTTCCAGTGTGGCTTGACTATACTTAACTAGACATTCTAAAAATTTTATTTTAACTCTTCAATCCAGGGGTGGGATGCTACCAGTTCGGCCCAATTCTATAGAACCTGTAGCTGCAAAGAGCAGCTGACACCAAACAGGTTTGGTGTTTGGCCCGCCCGCCTGCCTGGGCCCTAGGCTGTCCTTTATTCCCTGCTTTTCCCTCCTTAGCTGCTTTGCGTGGCACAGGGTTGAAAAAGCAGTAATCAAAAGGATTTTCAAACCCTGCGCAACCGCGCGCAGAACTTGTCAGCTGTCCAGGCGGCACAGCTGATGATTTCTTGCAAACACTGCACACACACGTGCTATGATTGTCCGCAGTTCAGAGAATCGGCAAATTGCTCCACTGGCTGGCCCCGCCCCTCCCCGCCCACTCACTCCTTACCTGGCATGCAAGCCATCCAACTTGCCTGGTTTGGTGAGTTGCTATTTTTCCTTTTTTTTTTCTCTGACCATCAGCTGTTCTGCTCTTCCAGGAGATTTAGATTAGCTAGAAAGCAGGAAATCCTTGGATTTCTTGCTTTCTAGCTAATCTAAAAGCAGAGCTGAAGCTTCCTTAGGACTGAAGCTTTTCATTGCAGACTCAGGTAGCCGATTGCAGATAGATAGATTTCTAAGTGAATCTGTGATTCTGTGAGCAATTCAGTCTGCCTGCCTGCTTTGCCTGTTTTGGGGTAAAAGTTACTCTTTTTTAATAAAAAATTCAATATTTACATACATGGTGTGTTGTGGGTTAATGTTGTTTTGTTTGTTAAGTTTGCTTGCAAGCAAATTTTATGTGACAGACTAAGCTAGTCAGTTGCAGAAACATAGATCTCTGAATGAATCTGTGATTCTCTGAGCAACTCAATCTGCCTGGCTGCTTTGCCTGCTTTTGGGTAAAAGTTGCTCTTTTTTATAAAAAAATCAATATTTACACAAATATTTATAATATTTACATATAAGCCACACTCACCCAGTCACATGACCACCAAGCCATGCCCAGTCAGCAAGCCATGCCCACACAGTCACATGACCACCAAGCTACACCCAAAAATTAGGCCACACCTACAGAACTGGTTGTTAAGAAATTTGAATCCCACCCCTGCTTCAATCTCATAACACGTGGACAGATTCAACCATACCTTTAACTGGGAAACCATGAGCATCCTAGGCCAAAAATCCTAGGAGATTCTTGAAAAGATTCAGATAAATCAGCCATCAACAGACAGACATAAACTACATTTACACATCATTCAAAAAAGACAATAAAAAACTAAGCAGGAAACAAGATCAGAATACATCATTTTTAACAGCCTGCACCAAGATACAGGGATTAATATCAGACAAATAGTCAAGCAGAAAATCATACCCCCTCAAAAAAACTACCAAGAAGAAAACCACACACCCCAAAATCATAGCCCCACCAAAACTGACAGGACAAGCCCCATACTCACTATCAGTTATGAAGTTACTTAGTTGGGTAATGAATATCTGCAAGGAAATAACCAACTCAGAAAGCACCTAGCACAAGTGTGGCCAACCCTGTTACCTTGTGTGAAAGCATGGATATAACATAGTAAAATTGATTGGAATCCTGGAGTCACAATTTTGAGATGAGCAGCTCTATAGATATGTGAATGAATGCATGCATGCATTCTTCATAGTTAGGAATTGATGATCCAGTGTGAGAAACAAGAGTTGAAGCAGAGCAAAATCAGATGTTTTCTTTGCCTATCCCCTCTTTTGTCAGCTAATAATGTGTTTCTTAGAAAATAAGGCTGGGACTTATTTTCTTTTGAGCCCCCCCAAAATAACTAGGCCGTCTTTTCGGGGGTGAATTAATTTCCCCCCCCCCCCGTGCACCCTTGCCTAGAGTGTCCCATGGGCAGCCACGCCTCGCAACCAGCTGCTCCTAATGGCAGCTTCCGTGGTTCCCGCCGGCGCTGCCGCTGTTCTCTTGCCAGAGCCGGTGGGAATTGTGGAAGCTACAGAGGTGGCTTCCCTGCCCAAGAAGCAGCTGAAATGCTTCCACGGTTCCGCTGGCACTGCCACTGTTGTTGGAGACAGCGCTGGTGAGAGAAGCCCCAGTGCTGGCAGGAGCTGGCAGCTTCCCCACCCCTGAAGCGGCTGAAATGCTGCTAGTGGAGGAATGGGAAGGGAAAGCAACAGCAGCAGAGGAAGCAGCAGCGGCGGGTGCTGAAGTTCTCGCAATTTAAAGTGCCCTGCTGAGGCCGACATTCATGCTGCCGCTGCCCGCCCTCTGACCCAGCCTGCAACCAGCATCATACCTGGGTCTGCAGCAAAGGTGCTTGACGGGGGTAGGGAGCCCTGTGTGCTCCGCCATGATCGGCCATTAAGAGTGGCTGGTGGCGAAGCGTGACTGCCTGCGGGGTGCTCCTAATGGCAAGTTCCTCCCCCACCTTCCCCCCCATTTTGCACGTTTTAAAATAGTCCTAAATTTGGGGGGGAGGGGCTGAATTTCATTTTATGCCTAGAAAACATGCTGGGTCTTCCTATTGGGGGGGGGGCGTATTGTTGAGAAACACGGTATAATCTTTCGCATTTATATTCAGTTGAACATACTTTATTGTTATATACTCATTTTTACTGTAACCCGCCCTGGGATGAATTATGTCATGGAAGTTGAAGTAATTTCTCTTTCAACTCAAGCTTGACTTCTGATGATTTCATAACTGTTTGTCTCTTAGAATTACTGAGGAAACTACATAAATGTGTCTTATGTTATCACTAGTAGTTTGAGCTTCACTTGAGAGCGTTTTTATTATTTGTCATCTTTTACATACAGTAGCTTCCAAGATAAAGATCTATGCAAGTTCTAATCAAAAATATATATGTAATGTTTACTTACTGCATTTGAATTAAAGACCACTTTGAAACTCTTACTTCTAAAATGTGGAACTGTTTATTCAAACCTTCTTTGGTGATGAGGAATCTGGCACAGTTTGCGCATCTTACTGTGTTGCTATGAGACATAAGCACTTCAGTGCTGTGGAATCCATAGATGACAGCAAAATGTAATAATCAAATCTGACAGTTCCCAAAGCTTTATAGAGCCTGAAATCAGATTTATGTTGAGGAAATTTATCACATAGTTTCAACCAGAGTGAGTCAGTCCATTGAATTATTATTGGAACTTGTTTGTTCATAAAGTATTTGTAAATGACTTTCTAGCTGTTAGTCAACTTAGAATAAGTGGTAGTCACTATTCTTACTGTGAACATATATTATTATTGCTGACTTATAAATTACAGAAGAAATTCTTAATTCCTAACATAGAAACTTCAGGTACTTACCACTTAAATCTTGGGCCATTTTACCTGAATTTTGCTTAAGGAAAAATTCCTGCATGATGTGACTTCCTAAAGATGTCCCTTAGAGTACAGTTTATTTCTAAAAGCTCTAAAACTGAAATATTAATTAATATATACACATATAAGTCTCCTAATGCATGGGGAAGTCTGGTTTTAAAAACAATATCCATCTTGGTGTTAAGAATTCCCATTGGTGTTAAATATAATTCCTGTTGTTTAATTCTGAATATTCATGCAGAAAGGGTGTGCAACCAGTATAATGAAACTTTTCTCTTTATTACTTAGTTATTAAATGAAGGCAGAAGTTGTCCAAAGCAATATTGCTTAAAACTGATTGACTTTCATTAAGAGTTAAAGTGTAATATGTGAGGAGAAATTTAGTTTGGTAAAAGCTGTTTTACAAGGATTTGGATAACAAATCTTAATTGTTTTGTCTTTGCTGGAAATATTTAAAATAGGACTGAAGCTGATGTATGTCAGTTCTGAAAATCTAGAATTATTAGCTGAAGATTTTGGAGATGTTTTATTGGGAATCTTGGTCTTCTATGCATAATCATTAAAGCTTAGTAAATTTATTTATTTGCAATTTGTTGTCTTTTTCAGTATGTTTGAGATACTGAGCTATTACCATGATATCGGCAGTGGTTCATTATATAGGAC